CTTCCTGACTGGCAGATGCAATGTGACCAGCCACCCTTCACTTCTGTCCCTGGAACTTCCAGCAGTGACTGACTATATCCTAAAACTGTGAGCCAAAATAAACCCTTCCTTATTTAAATTGTTTTTCTGTCCCACCAGTAACTAATAAGGTTACCCAAATCTACAGACGTTCAAGCTTCTGGAATGACAGGGTGATGTATTTTCATGGAATACATCTACCCTCTTCTCACAATCTGAAGGCATCTCTACATCACTTACACAAGGCAAATGTTGTGTAAGTAGTTACACTAGTGCTTAGAGACCAAGGACAAGAAAATATGGACATGTTCAGTTCAGACACAATTCTCCTCCCAAACTTTAGATTCACAGTTGAATCCATTAATTGAACCATGCATACAAGGAGCTGACTATAATCCCACTGTGCAATCTCACAATCTCACTCTACGATTCTCCCAGATGCTTCTGATACTCCTTCTTCTACACCCTCTTTGAATTTATGTCACCACACTCTGTACTCATTCCCTAAAGAGCTTCCAGGGTCCCATATAACTATCAGCACTTTTCCTCTGTCATATTCCCATAGCCAACATCTTCTTCCCTCCCAGGCTGCTCTTGAAAGCCCTCCCTATGCCTTCTCCCTCTCTTACCTCCTTGCTTGTCTCTAAATGGTCCCTTTTCTCTTTGTTTACACTGTTAACTTAAAACATACACTCCTTCTTTTGACCAAAAACCTCAACATTTTAAATCAAGTATCAGACAAAAAAAAAAAAAAAAAAAAAACAAGTCCTTCATTTACTTATACTCCTTAAGTTAACAAATTGCAAGCACAGCATATCTTTTTTTAATGACTTTCTCACCCGCTCTCTGGAAACTGCTCTCGTCATATAAAATGATAGCCATACCCCAAAACCGCAGCCACCAAAGCTCTCCTTTTGCTGATTTGCACACAATAAAAATGCCAGGTGGTACCAAAAAAATTTACCCCTCCCCAAAGAAAGCACCCATCATTAAAAAAGGGATGTTGTCAAAGAATAGCTGGTTTATTTAACAGCTATTCATTTTTTATTGAATAAACATTTTCTGGTATGCATTCTGTTAATTGACCTGCCAGCATATGCTGTATATGGAGAAACTTCTAAACATTATGTTCTATGTAATATGCTTATCTGAAAAAGCTCCCGTTAGCAGCAATATGGAAATAAAATCCTGCTTTCAAAAATTCAAGACTTTTCAAATGCATTAATTCACACAGTTTATAAAATTGCTCTGGACATTTTAAAATCCTTCCTTAAGAGAGAGAAAAAAAAACATTAACAATCAATAATAGTATCTGTTGCTGCTCTTCATAATGGAGTAGTCATTCTCCAACACAGAACTCAGAAACATAGAAATGGGGACAGGCATAATAGAAAGCAAAAAGCAGCCATGGTATAGGGTAAAGAACTACTCAAGGGCTGCAAGAGAAAGCTCAGAAATGCTATCAAATTACATTATTAGGAAACCATTGTAATAGTTGCGGAGCCTGGATATAAATAGAGTTGAAACATTATCGAGACAATATGCTTCGTTTTGAAAAGGGAAGACAAGGCAGTTGTGTGGGCGGGCTCCTCCAACTAATGGCCACCCTTCTCCTTGGCTGGTAACTTCTGAAGGATGATGCATCTTCCAGACCAGCATCCCTAGCTGCTTTGCCCAGAGGGCAGGGGCAGCACTCCGCTGGGTGGAGCCACAGTGAACCACAAGACTACTGGGCTCCCTGTCTTCAGCAGCCATTCATCTCCCAACAGATACTGCCCTTGTGGGGCGGTTGCTCAAGGTTGCCAGACATCCTGATTTTTCAAGAAAGGATGGAAAAGCAAAGACCTCCCATTTCTCCAGGCTGTCAACTAGATAATTCTTTAAAACAAATTTTGTTTGAGGCTCGACTTAGGCAACCAATGGCATCACTATGGTAAGTGGTTCTTTGTGATGGTGAAAGTTTCTAAAAAAAAGGTGCCCGATACTAATTTGTAGTCACGATTGGCAAGAAGGAGCCCAACACAAAACTGGCTCAGCACCCACCCCCACCCCCGCCGAATAACACCAATGGCTCTGGTGAAAGCACAATATTCTGAACCATTCCTTGTAACTCACAGCATAATTAACTCATTTTTACACCAGGCAGCTTGAAGCCGGATCTTTGTGTTCCATGGACTTCTGACATATTTTACTGTTCTAACTCTCTTCCACTGTCCTACATTAATCAAAGCTGTAACCCCTGTTGTCTTTGTACTATGGAATCAGAATGTGCCCCTGGCGAGGAATGGGGGAAAAGTCAACAGGAATTAAATTTCAGTGCAACTGTTTACTCAACTGTGGCCTGCAGATATTGAAATTTTATCCGTGGTTTTGTGTGACTACCGCAGTAATGAATTCAGCATGGCTGCGATTTTCTCAGCGCTTGCATTCTCACTTAGAGTAAAAACCTGCAGGAGAAAAATGAGGAAAACCACGCAGGTCCACCAGCGAAACTCACAATTTCTCCACACCGTTTCATTGCTGCTGTTTTCTGGACGGCAGAAAACTTGGGGAGATTTGGGCTCCTGGGTCCTTTGTGAGCCTGTAGTTTTTCTTCTGTCAAATACACATCCCCATTTCCCTCACCGACCTGTTTAGAGACTTCACTTGCACAGGCAGTCAAAGCAGCTGTGGATGTTTTCTAAGGCCTAAAAAGGCTTGCCAACCACAATAAGTGGGGCTTTAGCCACAATCCTAGACCCGACAGATGCCTTTCTTCCTCAAACATATCAGTGACAAATAGACAGAAAATTGCCGTGAAATATTTATTTTCAAGTTTCAAAGTGGAATAAAAAAAATCAAGTACTTGAACACTGCCATTTAACAACATGATCTCCAGAAGGGCTCCAGCCCAGGTAACTGACTGGCCACTCGTTATTTTTAAGAAAGATGCAACCAAAATACACTTCCAGAACATTCTTCTGTGTCGCTCATGCCACTGCTGTTATTGTCCTGTAGGAGTGTGTGTGTGTGTGTGTGTGTGTGTGTGTGTGTGTGTGTGTGTGTTAGGTGTACTGAACACGTAGACTTTCGTGGTTGGTTAAATACTTTGTTGTTGTTTGTGTAAGCTTTTACTATCACTACACTTGTGTGTAAGGGGGGGGGGCTGAAGGGCTTGTTCTTCTCTTGCCATGTGGGTGCTGACAATCAAACTCGGGGCCTCAGGCTTGGTGGCAAGCATTTTTACCTACTGGCTCCTTGGTTAAATACTTTAATATTCTGAATATTTGTTAGTCCTTCAGGTAAAATTCAGAAGAAGTTAATCTCTCACCAACTAAACTAATGTACTCTAAATGCAAAATTATTTGGGACGCACATTGCATTAGCCCGGTCTCAACTACCTAATAAAGGAATGGTCCATATTGAACTCCCTCTATCTTGTGATGGCCTAGAAGATGGTATTCTAAAAATACTAACTACTTATCTCACCATACGTAGATGACATCATATAGGTGACTACTGCAAATGCACTCTTGACATTTACTGCTGGTTTGGCAAACAACCTCCCTGGTTAGAATTCAGCCATTGTGTACTGACTGATGTGCACAAAATTAATACAACACAGTGGCATAAGCTCTAGCTGATTGGTTTACAGTGGAGGCATAAATAGTTGGGATGACAAGAAAAGACAAAGTCACAGTCCAAAATTCCCTGAAGTGACTTGTTTTGCCTGCCAACTTCCCTTTCTTTTTCTTTCCAGACCTTTCCCCAAATTGGTAACATGGTCTCAAGCTGTACCCACTGATATCTAGTGGGTTCACAGCCTACTGACTGTTTATATTTTAGTGCTTGTCTTTGATTCGACTATTTAGGAGGTAGAGGAAGGAGGATCTGGAGTTTATTTCAAAGCCAGTAGCCTCTGCTAAGTGAGAACCTGTCTCAGAAAGAGAAGATAATAATGACTCTTAGCAAGGGCTTCATCCTTAGAATTTGATTCCAATTTTAAGAAAGTAGTTTGAAAGGTCTGTCCTTTTCTCTTGTGGCATTTCCCAACATTTTCTCTAATAAAGTTACAAAATTTCCCCAAGATGTTTCATTCTCCTCTTTCTCTTAAATACTTGATACAAATGGTACCACAACTACAAGATAAATAGATCAAGGACAAAACCTGTCCTGTTATCAGTAGCAAAACCTCGTAATATTTCCTGATCCCAGGGAGTGGGAAACCCAATCCAGTCTTCAAGGAAATGCTATTTACATTTGAGTTTTTACCAATACAATACCATGTCTTAGGTCACCTGTAACACTGAGAAATGTTTCAACAGCTACTCCCAAGGACCCAATTCCATCCTGGGAAGAGCAAACACTGAATGAGAATATCTCAGGCAAAGGAACTGTTGAAGAGGCCCAGATAGTACAACAGTAAAACACCACTGAGATTTTAGCCACCACCACCTGTGGTCAGATTCCATTAAACATACACAAATGCTGACACCCTAGTTCTTAGAAACAGAAGAAAGACATGTCCCAAAACTGATGCCTGTCTTACAGACACGGGCTTGTTATTTAACCATATCCACCTATATTTCTAATTGTCTTTATTTCTTTATTTAACTAACCCACACACACACACACCATGTACCCTTAGTTCGTTCCTTTCTGCTTGGACCTTTCAGTTTACTTTTAAACCTGTTTTTACTTAATTTCTCTTCTGTTTGTCAACTATTTACCTCAAGCATCAACAACCATTTCCCCCCCAGAGAGTCATTTTAATTGAGTAATAAAAGTTTAGGCTGGAAGAGAGTGGCTGAAGGTCCATTCAACTTTAAGTCTAACATCCACCATCCAGGAAGACACTTGCATTTCCCAAGGACTTCAAAATTAGTCTCAGTCAGAAAGACCCCTGGATGCCTGAGAATATGCTTCTTATAGGCAGACAGATGGGCCTATAACATGGACAGTGGCTCAACTCCCACTCACAACCCCAATTCCCAGACAAGTACCTGCTGTTGCTGCTGTTGGACGTGGGCAAGGTCGGCTGCCCCCAGGTCCACCGCTGGTGTCTCCCCGTTGGAGCGAGTGTCACGAAGTGCACCACACTCTAGTAAGTGGTTGCCACTGCTGGACCCGTTCTGGATGGCTGATCCGTTACTTTTTGTCTCAGACCCAGATTCTTGCATCATGACTCAAAAACCTGAAAGGAGGATTTTCAGAAAGGGGGAGGGTGAGAAGGGGGGACAGAAGTGGAGAGGGAGAGAGAGACAGAGACAGAGAGAGAGAGAGAGGGAGGGAGGGAGGGGGAGAGGGAGAGGGAGGGAGAGCTGTTAAAACAGTTGCTATTGAGAATGGAGTTCTGCCTTACTATGTTGCTGAACTCTGTAAGCAGTTGTCATTCCCCTTCACCTCTTTTGTCCCTTATTAGTAGACTGATCTCCTACTTTAGGACTAGTGCTGTCATTCTCATTTCAAGCTCTAGTATGGTTTAAAATATATCATTCATTCCCTCTTAGGAAAAATACATAGGTTCAGGTGACCTGAGGAGAATTTAGGATTCAATTTCTCTGATGGGATTCAGACACTTGGGCAAAAAACAGGACACACACACACACACACACACACACACACACACACACACGTACGTTATAAATTTAAACATTATCAGGTTCAGGCACTTTATGGCAATGCAACACTCTGTCTCTCAAGTGACAAGACACAACACTACAGGTCCCCTGGAGGGAATCAGGGCTGAAACCCAGCAGTCCAACACCAAAAGCATTTTTGAGGATTCTAAATCTAGGCAGTTCAAAAGTGGTCATCCCCACAAGACAGGCCACTGCTAGGAAGACGGGACAAAAAGGACTCTCCATTTTCAGACTGAATGAATGCAGGCTGTGACTGGTACCTTATGGCTAGGGCTCTCCTGGGGATCACATTCAATGCTAATTTTTCTCCTGGTGCATTGATGAGGGAAATCCAAGGTATGGAAAGGCTGATATTTCACCGTGATCCTTTGTACTGTGGCCTAGGCAGACCACAGAAAAATTCAGACTTTAAAAGCACTAATTGTGAGGCCTGGATACCTGCAGTGGTAGAACACTTGCCTAGCATATGTGGGGTATTGGGTTCATGCCTCAGCACCGCCAAAAGGTAAACTAATCAAATAAAATACTAAAGTAAATGTCTACTAGAAAAAAATATATAGTACAATATAGAGAAAAATCTGTTGTCTCCTCTTGTTTGCAGGTTTTTTTAAATTTTGGTTTTGTCTGTCTGTTTTTGGAAACAAAGTTCTATGATGGCACCCAAGTTGTCCTTAAATTCACAGTCCTTCTGCCTCAGCCTCCAAGGTGCTGACATTACAGCAAAGACAATACCTGACATTAACTATACTATCAATTCTTGTTACTCTGTCCCAACCAGGACAAAACGCATCTACTGATCACCTGTTTTGTGATAGGCTCTCCACAGTGCACGTGACTACTGCATGGGTCTGTAGCTTCCTGTGACAATCACCAGCTCCACGTCACAAAGAAAAGGACTGACACTTGGGGTGGGGAGACGGCTCAGTGAGTACAAGCACTTGCTACACATGCCTGATGGCCTCAGAGTCAGAACCTCAGAGCCCAGGTAAGAGCTGGATTCAGCAGTACAAGCATCTACGTGTCAGGAAATGGGATGTGGAGCTAGGGAAATCTCTAGGAGACATGCATGGACCCCTAGTCTGGCCTATGGCATAGTGAAGAAACCCTGCCTTAAGTTAGAATGGCTACAGCCAGCATCTGAGGGTTGTTCTCTGATCTCCAAACATGCACGCTGGAATGCATGTGCCCGCACCCATGCCCCACAGGGAAATTCTAGAGAAAAAAAAAATGAGTCCTGGTGAGTTACTTTCATTCCCACTGTGCCAGGGCTAGCCATGATGTGCACAGGATGGGAGATACTGTCCTTTGATGGCTGAGCCCTCAGTGGTAGTAGCATGTTTTCTGACGGCTGAAGGATGGGGTCACAAGCCAAGTTCACAGACTAGAACTTGGAAAGGAAAAATATTAGTCACTAAAGGAAGGAATCAGTTCAAACATCAAAGCTGAGAAATGCCTAAGTAATTAAGGCTTCGGTGTGAATTCCCAATGCCAGACAAAACAGAAACTATTTCAAATTGCCCATATGTAGTACCACTACCTGTTTCTTTCCCACTGCACTGCACTAGATATATAACCACATCAACACTGAAGCATTCTGGACACCTTCAGGCGGCTGTGCTTTTTTTTTTTTTTTAAGTGACAGGTGTCTATTCTCTGCAATTTGCCCTACGACCAGACAGAAGAATGACCAATCAAACAGTTCCCATCTCACCTGCTTTCAGAACATAGTCCCTAGCACAGAGGACTTCAGGAACAGGAAGCCCTATTTTGTGAGTTAATCTGATTCTGAAGGAGATGTAGAGTGGCTTTCGTGCTAAGAGGTGCGAAACAGCAGGCAAGGGTGTTCATCTCTTTCGATCGGACTTTCTAATAATTACTCTCCTTTAGAAACTGCCTGTGGTTCCTTGCTAAACCACACAAAACTGAACAAAACAAACCCCAAGAAAACAAATCACTACTCCAAAACAGATATACTACAGGCAACGAGAGAGCAGTACCATGGAAACATGTTCTCTGCCTCAAAACACCCAATGTGCTAAAGCCTTGGGGCATTTGCCCTAGTGCTCTAGTTTCCCTACCACACCCTTTCCCGTTCCTATGTTTGGACACTTAAGAGAAAGGACTTCAGGCCTGAGGTAGCTCAGCAGTACAGCAGGCATTCAGAATACACCTTGAATGTCCTAAGTCAATCCCCACAACACACACACATTGCCAAACAACCAGGGAATAAATAGATGTCTCAGGGTAGTAAGCAATAAGGCACAGTTTATTATTAATTATGAAAAAAAAGATATCTAGATAAAAATAGATGTTTCCCACCTTCTGGCAAAGTCTGCCCTTGCCAAAGAATAGACTCACAGGACAGGCAAATTGCCTTTAGCAGCACTCTAAACCTTCCTTCAGGCAGGAGCGCACACAGTCCATACATTCTGTCCTTATGGGACAGAGCTATGCAAGTGCTGCCCTCAAACCACATGACTAGGGATCCGGGACCAAGAGAAGATGTCTAAAAGCCTATCCCCGTTTTTGTTTCCTTGGGTGAAACCATCACAGTAGGTGGAATGAGAAAGCCACCTCTGAGGCACAGTTTGAAAAGAAGGCTCTATGCAGCTCCGAAAAAGACTGCTGCATCCTCCAGTACAAGTTGGGCAGGCCTGGAGTCAAGCAGCTTGGCTCAAGAATTGGATTTGTGAGAGGTCAGGCTTTAGGACCAAAACTGTATAAAGGATTGTTTTGGTCTAAGGATGTCCTTAGTTAGTCAATTGCTAACTGGAGCACATAGGCTGGGGAACTCTTAATTTTCCATTAAGGCACAACAGCAATCGGGGACCAATAGCTTCGTGCCCATGTAGAAAAAGAGGACTTTGGTGTCTACAAGTTTTTCTGGAACTGTCTGGGTCAAGGGTGTCTCTATCAAACATCCTGAGCCATTTTACACTTTTAAATTCCATTAAAAAAAAAAAAAAAACCCTGCAGTCCATCTCAAACCCCCAAGTCTCCATTGCAGAGACAGGAAACTGATGCTCAGTTTGTCAGAGGACAAATACAACCACAGAGACTCTCCACTGTAGACATAAACTCAAGAAACGATCAAGACTTCCTTCCTCAGAGAGTCCCTGGCTAAGCATCAACCAGGAGAAGCTAAACTCCAGCAAAGGCAAGAGGGTGGCAGGTGGATGAAGAAAAGGTCTTACAGCACCGGAATGTTTTAGGAGGCAACCCTGTCTTTTCCTATTGACTTCACACAGTGTAAGCGTAGAGCAAGCACAAAGCCTCCAGGAGCACCCTCCTCTCCACCACAGAGCTTGCACTCTCTTTTCTTCAGACCAGTTTTGTCCCAAGAAAGTGGGACAAAGAACCTTTTCTCCTCCTCTCCGGGGCAACCCCCTGCCAAAGAATCACCCTGCACAGTGATGACCGGAAAGCATGAACCCATCCATCGTGTATGTGTCTACAGTGCTTGGGTTTGAGGATCATGTATACAGAGCCTTTAGTCACCTTGTACCCACCAACCTGTCCATTCTTAAGAGTGGGGCCAAGCCTTTCCCCACTAGTTCCTTATCCTCCTGCACGTGAACAGGACCTGCTTAAAACATCTGATTCACACCTTGCAACCCTACAAGGCTGACACTGCCATCCCATGGCTGTCAGATGCATAAGGAAGCCCAAACCACACTCTTGCCACCTCACTTGGAACTATGACAAAGATACCAATATCAAAGACTCACTTTTTTCTAGGGGACTTTTAAAACCAATAAAAACTGGATCTCACATGCTTATTTATTGTTGTTGCCAACAGAGCTACTCTGTGGAAACCGCCTGGAAAATTCATAATGTCCAGGCCAATGTATTTATAGTAAATTAAAACACAGCTTTATTATTATGATTATTTCCTTGGTTACAGTGTTGATGCTGAAAATTTAGGGAAAAATAAAGCCCTTGTTATCACGCTTGTGAGAGATTTTAAGCTAACAAAAAGTTCAGTCTTGATTCCAGGGCAGTTAATTAAGGTTGACCAAGTCAGGCTGAAGTAAATTAACTTGGCTGATCAATTATTTATATGAAGCAGAATAAATGCCCTTAAAGAACTTGGTCTGTTCACAAAGGGATGTGTAAATTAAACCAAACAGAGTTTTGTGAAATATGTTTCTACGGTTATGGGGAGAAGTGAACTTAAGGATAATGCCACTTCCAGGACAATGAGCAGAGGGACTCTGTATTACCATCCCTTTCCCATGCAAAAGGAGCAACCCTCTTCCTCACTGTAAGGGATGCAGAGAAGGAAGGGATGGGGAATGGGATGTTGAAGACACAACAGAGGGAGAGAAGGAGGTAGGGAGGAAGGGAAGAAAGACAGAAAGAATCATAAACGTTAAGATTCCAGAAACAGTAAACACGTGTCTCTCAGTTTCTCATCAGTTACTAACAGTTTGGAGGTTGGCAAAGCAAAAGGGGTGTGGCGGGCTAGCTTTGTTTCTGGACTTTTTATTACTCATGCTGTATCAAGACTTTAAAATCTTTCCTAATCTTTTATCAAGCATTCAGGGGAAAA